TACAGGATGGTTGTAAAGGAGTTTGGAGAGAGACCAACGCTCATTATACAAGTTGTAATGAAGAAGTTGATACGTTTTCAGGAAAAGATGCCTGAAAAACCGGCGTTGTGTGTGCGGGCGCAATAAAAAAATACAATTTTTTTCACAGTCAACGGTGTGTGAAGAAGAGGCACTTGATCCACCACTGATCTTGCGCCGGCCCTGATTTTTCTACCTACCAATTTTTTCCTTGAATCTGCCGGAATTCAACGGCACCAGCTACCAATTTTGTCTTTTTCTGTCCGACAACACTGGTTTTAAATTCCTTTTAGTATTTAGTGGTAAGGTGTCAGAGAATCCTGAACATTTTTAAAAAATGTTATCGAGATAAATGATTGGTGGGTAGGGGTTATAGGAGGGTGGTGGAGGATGTATCACGGCAGTATACTTATAAGCTTTTAACCCCACATATATTAACCGGTATATTTGTCCTTAAGATTCAGAATGATGGAAATATTTTCTATATGAAGTGAACCAGCCGCTGCTAGCTCTCAGGCGAACATCCACGCGACGAATTTTTTACCTGGACAGCTGCAAAGAGTTCAACGATGCCCCGGCGAGGTAATAATTGCAACTTCCAGGGCATTACAATTTAATGAAAATAAATCAGCAGATTGACAACGTTACGGCTGTAGTTATTCAGATTCAGATGAGAAACAACGAAAAGACGTGTTGACCAGTCTCCTGCGAGTATGAAGATATTTTGTGGAAGAGCCTCATCTATTTTAGTAACTTTTCTTCAAGCAAATAATACCAGGGCGTATCAGGGCTATCCTCGATACTTCCAAAGATATTAAACTCATTATACTTTTTCTCCTACCATGTTCATGATATTACAAGAGTGTCCATAAAATCAGGAACATTTATGGTACAGACAAGTTTATACATACCGAGTTGAAGGTCTAGCGTCAGGTCGGAAACAAACATTCTGAATTACTTGTTTTCTTGTTTCCGTTTATGCCTGTTTGGATTGCATCACTGTTTTGTGGGTTACATTCGAAACTAAAAATCAGAAACTGCAGATAATTGCATTTTGTGTATATTTGCTGTGATTTTACTTTTTATTACAATGTACGATCAAGAATCTAGTAAGAGCCAAATGAAATTCGCAAAACAAAATTGTGTGCCAACGAATGCACAGAACTAGAAAAATCCTTTCGGCAATGTCGGTACTAGCTCTCGTTCGAATCGTGTCACTGGTTGTTCGGACAGTTTCTTTTCGATTTTTTTTTCTTTAAGCTCCTCGTAGCTGCCGCGGTGCCCCGGTATTTAGGTTTATGTCTATGTGACTGCTTCGGTATAGAAAATGGTGTCAAGTATGTTGACTCTGCACACTACGCCCTTATCAGTTCACAAAGGATTATGTTCAGCAAAAACTAGACCCTCTGAGAAAAAAGTCAGTCAAACAGGTCCATGCAATTAGTCCATAGACATTCGTTTCCTGCCCTACCGGTAGTACATCTGGAAACGTCGCCTCTCCCCGATACTCGTCTCGGTCAGACGCGGCACCGTGGCAACGCTCTCAGAGCATAGGAAACACTATGCTGAAGTGCCTTAACACTCATTAACGCCGGCGGCATGACACCAGCAGCAGCCGCTAGTTTGCCGAGAATATTTTTTAAGTTTTAAGAGCTAATATACAGAGAAATCTATGATGTGTGAAAGACACATATGTCTAAAAGACGCATATAATTTCCAATGTTAGGTGCGTATAAATGTATGTAATGTATAATGTATAACATCAAGAAGTTGAGATGAACCCTTCCCAACCCCCACAACCAAATTTTCTAAAACTACAAAGCTTTTACGTCCTTGGCATAGTAGTAGCATTGTGCAAAAATTTCATCAAAATCCTTCTCAAATTATTGACAGTCATAAGATTAGCGAACATACCGACAGACAGACAGATCGACGAAAATGAGTGTCTTGGTTTTTCGCGATGTACATGTCGTATAACATCCAAAAAACATAATATCTCATTTTCGAAAATTTTCGCGATTACAATGCTTCGTTCCGAACATAAAATAAATATTTTGCAGGAAAAAACCTTAGAAAATTGCCTCTGCTTTTAAAAAACTAGGAGTCCTTATATGCTTTTGGGTTTTCCTACGTAATTTCCCTCCTCGTTCCCACTGATCACTGCTACTAGCTCGTTATAAGTAAAAGCAATCACCAGGCCTAATCAACAGTAGGAAGTCACCTGCTGATAGTCCGATACAAGCAAATGCCCATTGGCTGAAACGCGGCTGAAAAACTTTATCGCTAAACAGCTAATTTGAATTTCTGATGTTGATTCGTTTCCGCGAGCAAGTGTGGAAAGGCATTGTCACAGTCTCATTTGCCGCACTTTAAATTTTAAATTCTGCTGCAGCGACCAGCAAAGTATTTACAAGGTTCGTTTTACTCGGTGCTCCGGCTAAAGACATCGTAAGTTCTCCAGGAATTCCAATCAAGTGAATAGTCCGGGCGTCCAAGCACCACTGGATGTTCATCATTTGTCATTGGATGCAAATTCTGTAGCCATAAAAACGTAATATGAGTTTGGCCATTAGGATAAGATGGCGAATTCGCCAAATATTACGAGCTTCTGCAGTATGACAAAGCCTAATTTTACTTTTTGTTGACCTAGATGATAAACTATACGATTTGAACGGTCAATAGGCTAGATAAGGTCCAAAGACAGCTTCAGTATCTACCGGGCGTTTCAAAATCGACCCGGAAACGGTAGGAGATACGAAGTCGCTTAAATAGGGGCATAGCTGCGTATTTAGGTAATCAACAAAATGCCGCTTAGAAAGTTTCGAAATCCAAAGTACTTCCGGAGACAGTTGGAAAAAATTCAATTTTCTCAAAATCGTATTTTTTTCCTGACTTTATTTGTAGTGGAATTTCAAAATAAATTGGACATTAAGGGCCGTATCGTCAGTCGTTCCTACCATTGTAGGACGCCTTTATTGCCTACTTGAATTTCAGTCTTTTATCTCCTTCAGAAAAGCCGAGGTATTTCTATACTTCTACAGTTCCGTGTCAGCGTCAGCGCTGTCCTAGTTATGTTTTGTTCTTGAATTGTAGGAAATTTCAGACTGATAAAGCAGGTGATAAAAAATCAAAAGCATGAACAATTTGTTTTAAATAGATATTTGTAACATAACCTCAAAATAGAGCGCCTTTTTGAAGGAGAGGGGAAACTTTGAAGACCAAGGAGGTCATAAAGGCGTCCTACAATTGTAGGAATGACTGACGATGTGGCCCTAGCATTGTCACTTTTTCTCCTCTACAAGATAGTATTATTAGAATTTCAATATGACGTTTCGTCTCTTATCCTGCAGCATAAATTTTAGTTTTTCGAATGGACGCCACATTGGATTTTTGCATAAATGAATAGCTTTCAATTCTGATTCCAAAAATATATAATGTGTTATGAACATTGCCAAATTATATAATAATTATTTCAAAAAAACAGAATTTCCTAGGTATGCCTTGGAATTCCGTCATTTGTTTCGTATTTGTCGCAAAATCGTTGTTTATCTCCTGATTTTATTTAAAATAGGAGTAGTCAAATTCTCAACAGGACGTTTCTTCTTTGGATCCCTATCATCATTTTTGAATATGGACTCCATATCAAAATTTTGCACAATCGAACCAAATTTTTGATTTATGTCACAATAAACTTCATATACAGGTATTTAATCAAAATAATATATTCTTACATTCTTAGTAGTATTGAAATGTACAAAATTCCAATATATAGCGTACACATGAAAAAAAAACAAAATTGGTGATGAAAGTCGAAATAATAAACCTCCAACTATGTCGAAATAGTGGTAATGGCAATGTTCAATTTATTTTGAAATCAAATCTCAAATAATGTCTGGAATAAAAATAAAAATGATTTTGATTTTTTTTCTTTTTAAATATATTAGGTTTGGCAATGTATATGTTATACATTTTTGGAATCAGAATTACCGAACTCTATTTGTCTGTTATGTGCAATTTATTTTAAAATCCCACAACAAATAAAGCAGGAAAAAATGTTTAACTATTTTGGGAAAATTGGCTTTTCCCGTATGAAATAACAACTACAAGTTAAAAAAAAATACAAAAAAAAATGTAAAGAGGATGCAAAAATTTAGCTCACCTGTCTTTCCAACACTGCAATTACCTAGAACTACCACTTTTATCTTATCAACACTTGTTATCGGGCTTGTCATGCCTAATAGAAGTACCTAATAGGTACGAGTATATCTGACAAAAAGAGGTGAGAAAATTTTTTGATTTACTCAACTCTTCTTCACAATGACTGTTGTATCAAATTTTCTGTGTTACTCTTAACTGTTCCACTGCTCAAATATCCGGATGTTTTATATTGCATATTCATAAACACATTTCCACCTACGCTTTCAAGCTAGCGTTCAAGTAGAAATTTGAATGGATTCCAAAAACATGAACTTCAAAGTACATATTAAATATTAACTTCAAAGGTTCGTATGAACAGTAGAAAACATTTTGAATTATCTAGTCATAATTGCTTGTTATGAAGTTTATTAGCTCACTGAAATTTTTACCACCACCAAGAATGTTTGATCTTTAATCTTGAATTAAAAAAATTGTAGGTATATAGGTAATAATGAATATCTAATTTTTCTTTGCCTTTATTCAACTAAAAGCTAGGCATCTGTTATTGATATTTTCAAAAATATCAAGGGTTCTAATGAAAATACCTAGTAAAAATCTTTGTAAAATATAAGGCCTATAAAAATATAGTACCTACTTGATACATATATTTCAGTAATTGAATTATAAGAAATTAAAGGAAGACATGCCACATGCATTGAATTTAAAAAAAAAATCAGGTTCTTATAGATATGCCCTTGATTTATAACAGACACCCAGAAATAATAGAACATTCAGAAAACTATTGAAAAACTCTAGATTCCATCATAAAATTGCAGCAAACTCACCTGACTTTCCAACCCTGGAGCTTCCCAGCACCACCACCCTGATTTTGTTGACATTGGTCATGTTTTCAGCTGATGCTTTACAGTCCTTATTCACACACCAAAAAACGTGAAACAAAAATGAAAACAACTTATTTACATTAAAAAATGAATCAAAATGATTCAGTAATCAACCCGCGATGCGACTGGTCAACTGTCAAAAGTTGAAACGGCAGCAATCACTTGTTGCCGGAAGAAACAAGAGAACACGTGCGGAAATAGCCTAATGAGATTTCGGCATGAAGCAAGCAACTGTCCAAAGAGCCGACTTGCCGGCGACTGTGTGAAAAGTGCAATCACGTTCGCCGTGCAGCGAAAAGCGACGGCGACTTGCTGCATCTCAATGCCATGTTGCCAGAATGTGGAGAAAATTTGTTGAATTACGGAGTTGAAGTGACAGTTGTCACCGGTAGCGAACAGTACAGGCAAACAAAAGAACTCTTATTTTAAAGTCTCATCTATACTTCCGCTGAAGGAGACAGCCAACAGAACTTGCTTTTCGCTGTGTACCTTTATACAATGGCATGTTAAACTGTTAAGGTCAGAGAATGAAGGTTATTTCCCTCATTTCTGACGGATGAGCGTTAATAGGTAACCTCCGGGGCATTACTTTTTTTGCAAAGTATCGGAATTCCCTTGAATTTTCTGGAAATATGTATATCATATAACGAATTCGGAATATTCAATTCCTTGTTGACAAATGAAAAAAATAGCTTCGAATAGTTTGACTCCGCACTTCCCACGCAACAGTTCACAAGTCAAACCCTCTGAGAAAAAAGTTACGACATCAAGTCAGTCAAATAGGTCCATATGAAGTTAGTCCATAGACCATACCGGTAGTACCGTATTTTGGGCAAAGTCGCCCCTCCCCTATACCTCACTGCAGGACGCCTCGGAAGCGGCGCCGCGGCAGTCATGACAGGACAATCACCGAGACCGGCTCGCCCGCCGGTGAAGTCAAAGAGTAGAGGCAGAAACGCGTATTCCAAACATCTCTCTACCACTCTAAGTTTTAAATTTTTGTAATAGGTGCATAGAATTACCAGGGTTGAACAACCCTCAATTTTTAGCTCCTACAAAAAAATTTCTGAAAATGATCAAGAGACTGAAAATCAAACAACGAAGTTTGAGCGACTTGTCTTTTTTGGTTTTTTACCCCGTAACTCCGCAGCCACTAGACAGATTTTCAAAAACTAAAAAGCTTTTTCATCCTCTTGACATAGCAGTAACCTTATGTGTAAATTCCCAAGAACGACAGATAGGCCGGGGGACAGACAGAAATGAAAGACACGGTTTTTCGTGATGTGCATGTCACATAATTATAACATCTGAAAACACAATATCTCATATCCTATTTTTTTCCGCCTATTGTCTATGATGCTGACGAATAACACGTGCAAAACATGCTCAGAATTAATAAGTGCATTCAGAAAATGACAGCTCTGTATATATAATTTCGTCGAAAGACTCTGTCGTCAATAGCAGTGCATGTGTGGTTCGATGTTTTTGCTCAAGACAACCAACCCTACCTTAAATTCTGTTATTGTTGTGACGTTTAATGAGACTATATGCGTACAAGCTATGTTAGGCTTGCAGCAATCACCCTGTATAAATGGGTTTCCCTTTATTTTTAGTTTCTGGCAACGCCGCAACCTGTGGATGAATTTCTTGATTGGTGTATGAAAAGTGTGTTGAGGATTTGAGGTTAGGTTATGTTGTGATTGTTTTTGTTGATATAGATGTAGAACTGTAAATTTTCCGCATTGTTATTTCACTAAAGTAAAGTGAATCAGTTTCCACTAATATGGATATGGATTTGGATTATTTAGACACCTTGGGACTAGAGCAAGACAAAATCAAGATATTTCTACAAACCAAATTGAATGAGGCTCTGAATGAAAACGACAGACTTAATAAAGCTATAAATGAAAGAAAACATCACTTGGAATCTGCTGTAAAGGGGCCAGAGAAGAAACCAAAGGTTACTATTGAATTACTTTGGAAAAAAGTATTTGCAAAAAAGTTCTGTTTGGGATACACTATCAACAGTGCCAGCGATGTAGTTACAAATGAGTTATGTGCCTTTTTCCACTGGAATTGGAAATCACCGTTTGAATATACAGTATCAGTGTACACCAAAAACAAGCATATATTTGATAGAAAGAATCACAGAATGCAAGACTTGAAATACATCACAGTAGCCTTCAATATTCCTTCCTTCACGCAGAATTCAGTGTGTGAAATAAGTGGAAAATTATATGTTGATGAAGAAACTTCTGTGCCATTCCCTAACATAACAGTAGCAGTATTTGATAGGGTAGATAAAAATACAGTTCAATGGACCGCAAATGACAACATTGAATGTCTCTTAACTGCTATGTCCTGTAGCAAAAGCTATGATGTTGTATTTATTTTACCTAAAAGTTGGACTGTGGATAATGCATTTGAGATTTATTGTGAATTAAAAAAAATAAGTTTGGAAATAGAAGATAGGCTTTACTATGTTGCAGATAAAGTTTCTACAGTGTTTGATAATTCTGCAGTTGAGCTACATATCAGTGCTAAATGTAAGACTCATATTCCTGGTGTTATATACTGTGTAAATGAACTTGCTTTGGAGATAATGATGCATCATTTCATGACTAGTGTAAAAGGGTTCCAAATTTATTTGAAGGATGTTTATGATATTGTATTTGTGGACTCTGACGAAGAAGGTGACTATGAAGAAAAGTTTAAAAGTAGTGTAAAAAAGGAAATAGAGGTAAGAACACATCATGGTGATGATGATAATCTAATCAATTTGGAACAGAAGGTTAACAGATTGTATTTAATAGCTAAAGAAAGAGAAATGGAAATTTGACATTTCAAATCTTTTTTATTTATATAATAAACAGTCTTATTTTGTACAACTTGTATTATTTTCGAACCTTTTTCTTTTTCCCAACTCATGTTTGCATTTAAGAAAAGAGTATCCCTAAATTAGGAACTTTATAGGAAAGGTAAAAAAAACGGAAATTTTGAAAAATTACAATTACATTTAGTTTATGCAACAATCATAACCATCAAAATTGTAGCACACTGACAGTAGGAAAATCAAGATGAAACAGGAAAAATGCAGCATCAACTAACTAAAATTATATAAATATAATCTTCCTTATTTGAGTGTATAATTGACAAAAAAGATCCTATTCATTACTTTGACCTGACTCAAACTCTAAATTTTTATACCAATTAAAAGCTTGTATTTTTAACAGATGGGTAGCATGTCTAGCTCATTTTCTCCATATTTTGAGTTGTGATCTTCATAGATGGGCACATCAATCTATTTTCAGGTTGGTAGAAATTAAAAAAAAAAAGATGGAAAATAAATAAGAGAAAACGCTTAATTGAAAAAGGCATTTATTAATGAAAAAAATACTGGTTTACTCATGATGTGTGTATCTTAAAAGAAAAAGGCTTACAGCTAAGATCCTTCAAATTGAGAATGGCAACTTCAAATGTCGAGGAAAATTGTGGTACAGAAATTAGTCTCACAGCCTGACCTTTTGCTCCTAGAATAGAGAAAACACATTATGTTGTAATATGTATAAAGTGGAATTTAAAAGCTATAATTTCAATGTGGATTCAGTTCACATTAAATAGATGCTTAAAGTGTAGACAAAAGGCAGATGCTTCAAAATGTATGACGTTATTAAAGAATATAAATACTACAGTGAATGATAGCTACTTCATCATCAACAGTGCCAAAAAAAATTCACCTGTAACTATCCTAGTATCAAATTGTGACTGGTTTCCAGTAAAAAATATGTGTGGACAATCATCTAATATGAATGGATCTTTATCATAGTATGGGAAACAACCAAGTGTATCTGGTGCTGTGGGAGCTAAATGATTCCATTGTAGACACCTCTCCATAGCATTCAATGGGTCTTCCAAGTCAGAGTAGCTAAAATTGATTTCTATGTTGATTTTCTAAAGCTTTGCCTGTGAACCCCCATTCAAACCTAATTCTTGGCATGTTAAAACATGAGTGCCTCCTTGATTGGTACTTAAACTCACTTGTTGCATACCACACATTCATGGCACACTGGCCAATAGAAGTATATGAATTTGAGATGACCAACTGGTGCTTATTTTTACAAGGCACAAATGAAATTTGAAAGGAGTTTAGTGGCTATTTTAAGTTATCCAATTATTGAATTTAAATAAACTGTGGCTAAGAACTACTAGACTTACTGCAGTATTTGATCTATAGGCTGGCCAGATGTCCCCAGAATCCTTAAATTGTCCAAAGAAAAAGAATATGGATTTGTGACTGGAGTAAATGATTTGTACACTTTGGACTTTGGAAACATACAAAAATGCATCTGTTTTTGGGGTAGGATATGATTGGATGGGTCATGTTTTCCTGGCATAACATCCACAGCTACCAACTGACAGATTTGCTTTATGAAAGAATCAAACCTATTGGAATAAAAGAAAATAACAGGATAATCAGCAACACTAAGATGAATAAAAAAAGACATACCTTGCTACAGCTTCAACTGTATCCTGGGATTCTGGCACCCTTGCTGTCAAGGAAATCGATGAAAAATGTTCCTCTGCCTTACACTTTATACTATTTCCGGCAATGACTACCCTAGCTACCTTGGAAACTGTGTCACCACATCCTAACATACCACTCAGCCAAAAAATAAACATTTCCAAGTTTGGTAAGAATTTGTGACTGTTCACAAAGTCCAGCCCACTAGCTAGCACCAAATATACATCATCATTGTATATTGGGCGATCAATTTGTGGTCTATAGTCTGCAAATAAATATTCTCTCACTTGAAATTTGCCCTTGCCTATATCACTGCCTAGTAATGCGCAGGTAATTCCAGTGACCAATGTTTTACTATCAATGTTCCCTAGAAAAAAATTTAAATTTGTTAACAGAGCTGCCGAATCGTCAACAACATTTGATTATAAATATAGCAACTGTAGCCCAATGAACATACTGCAGCATAAGGCTTGGCCCCATCTCAGCTATATTGTCTGCTAATTTGAAGACACATACATTTGGCAGAATTCATTATCAGGTAGGCTTCAGAACCACACATTACATTAAGTAGGATTCCAAACATTCAGCAATCTGATATCTATATACACAAATATACCGCAAATGTCAAACATGTCTTGATCACACAGCCAGGTCATATTAAAAATATTGCCATATGTTGTTAGCTACTCTTTACTGATAGATAATGCGTCATTCTTGACAACATTGAGGCATTCTCTCATATTACATACCCGTTACAAGCAAGGTCTAGATTTACAGAAAACTTTTATTATTGTTAGTTACTTTAGCTTTATTAAAGTAAGTCTTCATTATACCTATTAAATGATATCTTTGCAACTCGTCTTCAATAAATAACTGGTCGGTTTCATCAGGACGGCTAAAAACAGGTTGCATTTCAAGTTGACTGGCTTCAGCAAGTTGCCTCAAAATCGATGGTTTGCACTTTTGATTTTTGAAGATAGTACCAATTACAACACACTCATCATAGTTCTCTTCCACAAGTTTATATAATTTGCATATTGGGTATTTGTCACCCCATGTCTCGCTGACTCTTTCTTTCAAAAACTCCTCCATAGCTTTCAACCGGCTCAAGTATATACTGCAATATTGTTTACTGTAGTTCGAGGGTTGCTCGGCGAATCTTTCGGATAAGTTTTGGTAGTCAACTGTCGCTCTTTCCAACATCTTGAAGTATTGTTATTAGTTTGTCTGGAGAAAATAAACTGCCCGAAATTGAAAAGTAGCGGGAGTTAACTTTGAACGTAAACATAACCTCAAAAAAGCTGTCAAAGACAAAAGTCAAGAGTCAAGCCCACAGAACCATAAGGTCTGTTGACAGCATGTGCAGTGTTGCCGCCTATTTTGAGGGAATCACTTGGTTGTGCTTGCCAGAGGCGGATCCAGTGCCCAAAAATCAGAAGCAGATTGCTGATGGACCAACTAAATACCTACCTTTTAGGTAAATTCCATATGGTGTAGTTCTAAACATATGTTATATTACCTTTAGTAAATCGATGAATGAAAGTTCGCCAAGGTCAAGGGCACCTCCAATTCATAAGATCTATATGAGCAAATGCTTTTTCAATACTTTCCATTGGTAATACCAAACAGCTCTGAATTCTAAAATTCAAAGGATACTTTGAATTAGCAATGACCCAGCAACATCTTATAAAGGTAAAACAATCATCACGTCATTTACTGCCATTTTTTCTATTTGGACAACAGCAAATTTTTAAAATAGGTAGAACAAAAAGTGGCATGGCTAACATATAGGGCTCACAAAAAAGGTGATGAAAATTTTTATCTCGCTTCACGACCTCAAAATAAAGGTAAAACTATCCTAAGTATGGAGAAAATATACCAAGGCTGGCAACACCACCCCTCTCAACCTTAAAGAGCTAGTAGTATAAATTCGTACCACCAGATAACGGGAATAAATTTCCAACGAGGCCTTCTTCAGCCTCAATGTCTAACTGAATAGTGAACATTTCAGCCCGCCTTTTAAGAGTCGATATAAAGTCGTCCAATATAAATAAAATTACTAAACGACATATTTTAGTTTTCAGGTTTGTAGACCCCCCTTCGAGCAGTGCTGCGCCATCTACTGGTGGCTTACATAAAACACTTCGACCTCCAGCTAATATTTTATCATTTCCTACAACCGTTCGATGATCTGAACAGGACTGTATTGAGTATTTTGGTGGACAAGCTGTAGAGGATGGCTTAAATTTTAGTAACAGTTCTATCCAGGGGGAGGGAAGATTTAGAGGGATCGCACGCCAAGACGCCAACGTCTTTGGAATACCTACGTGACTCTAAAAAACCTATAGGATTACCGAAATAAGACAGCACAAAGTGCCATCTTCACCGGAATCCTCTACTGCGAAAGTGAAAACAGCAAGCTGTCTGATGCACTTGCGTCCCAGATCTCATTGTCGAATCATTATCACTGAAGCCGCTAGATTCTTAAGAACAGGATCACGCTAAGATGACGTCATTATTCGGACACTGTTGGTCGGAAACGTCATTGTTTGACAAATCGCGTTTTTATTACAACAAATTACCATTACCACCGGAGCTCTGGAACGTGTTTGAGATCAAACGGTGTTTTTTGGTCTTTATTAACCACTCTAATATACTTTGTACATAATGGTCCTGAAAAATTGCGGAGGTGATAACGACGTCTCGGAACGAGAGGGTTTAAGAGTACTAGAGGTAAGTAGAATATGAGTATCAGCGCTTTTTTACCTCTTAAACTCACCGCTTGCGAGTGGGTGTACGTCACATCGACGTCACGAAGATGTCATATCGACCTAAGATAGACGTCGTGTCCACGTCATTCAGACGTCAAATCGACTTTGTATTTGGCCTTTTATACGCATACTACGACGTCATATAATGACGTCAATTGGGTGTGACATTGGACCGTCATAATGACGTAATTTCTACGTCATTTTTGATGGTCGGCGTACGTCCTGACGTACGTAAAGACCCAAGCTTTTCTGGGCTGAATTACCAACGGTCTATGAAGTGCGCCGTTTTTACCATATATTTGTAGTTGTACAGTTGTAGTTCGAAGAAGCCTAACACTTCTATATAGCATGTCTTATTATTAGTGGAGGGTGGTTGTCAAAGCCGTTGCTTAGCAACAATTGAATATGTAGGTACGTATAGTTTTCGCAGCTGTTGAGCATATTAGGATAAATTAATTCAAAGATAGCGGGCGCCTAGGTTACTTTACCGCCCAAGGTCATAAATAGGTCCATTAACTGAAAAGTTGGCCATAGCATCCGGAAATTCTATTCATTAAGTACACTTTAGTAGTAGTATCTCACATAAATACTACGTCGTTTGTTTTGTTTTCAATATTTACCCAGGAAGAAAAATGCAACATCTCAATAGTGGTGACTTCTGGGGTTTTTAGCAAAAAAAGTAAGCTAGGACGCGGACCCAGCTGCCTGGAAAATGTGACTAAGAATGACGAACTCCTCTTGTTTTAAAGTTTACAATCAATATCGCTATTTCTTTAATATCTACCGTTACCTTGATTTCAACTAAAGAGCAAGATTAATGCCAGAAGTCAATAACCGTAGTAATCCGTTCGTGGGATATAACAGACCCCCCATTTTAGTATCAAAACACACAAAACAGTCAAGGGAAGTTTGCACGTGAGATTTTCACGGCAGTTAATACGTAACTCATAAATAAAATTAAGTGTAACAATCGATATTATACCTGAAACAAGGTGACAGATTTTCACAGGGGCGTAACGGATTAAAAAGGTATCTTTTGTCATTTTAGAGTTTAGAGGAAATGGTAATTAAATAATATCAGCGGAAGTGGTTTGTCTGGTAGTTAGTACTTGAGTAACAAGAAAGAAAAAAATCATAGAAAAATATCTAAAAATGGCGACACGGCAGTGTTTTTCACGAAACTACATTTTTAATGATTACCGTATTCTTTTGTCGAAAATTCAACGTTTTAATACAAATACTGGCCAACCACACAAAAATAGATAACTTATTAATCCTCTACATATAATTATTTAGCTACAAACATGTAAAATATGTAGTTTTTTCTGCATCCAAATTTGCAGCCGCGAAACCGCTTGCCGCAGAGCGCGTGAAATTCTATGTGCCTGGTGAGAATGGCTACGTTTCCGCCATTGTTTAATATGTTTTTGTGACAATTTTTTGTTACTCGTATATTCGGGGTGAGTACTTAGTGAAGTTGATTACAAAATTGTAGCCAACGGTATGTTCTTTATTTGGAAAATATTTTTATTTCTAACCATTTTTTTAATGAAAAGGTCTACATTTTATTGCCGATTTGGATAGGATCTTTCAAGAAAGCAATTTAATATGACATCATGTAGGGTTTTATTTTGAGATTGTTGAGATATTGGACAAACTATCAAAAAGAACACACTCAAGTTTGACAACTCGCAATTCCGGAGCTGTTGTAGCTAGACTATTGAATTTTTGTCAGACTTCTTTTGACGGTTTATTCGGGGTGGACATGAACCCAAAATGAACGATTTCTTAACATTTTCAAATGGAAAACCCTGGATATGTCCACATTACTTGAAGTTTTGTTTTAATATGACGTTTATAAAGGATTGTACGGCTGGTTTTTGAGTTACAGCTAACCCTTTTTCAAATCAGATATCAAGGTGTAGTGCAATAACTTCACCAATAAAAAATAAGCATTTAATTGGTAACGGAAGATCTTTAGAATTGGTGTATTTTCATTACAAATTAAATTTAGCAAGCCTCATTCAATAAAGTGAGAAGAAGGTACAAGCTCCCATAAACCTTATATCAGAAAAGAGCTTGTGAGGAGCGAATAAAAAAGTATATTTTGCCTTACTGACGACACTTTATAAACAATAAACTGAAAAAGTAAATAGATAGGGAGAAAATATGTGATAATATATTATTTTGAACGAAAGACTTAGTAGGTACTCTTGAAAAGCAAGTAAAAATAATATAATTAAGCATAAAGCTTGCTGGCATTTTTGCACTTGTTTGCTGTCCGCTAGAAACAACCCAACTAGCAAAGTAGTGCTATAAGCTTTTGGTAAAAGAACCATTCGGCCATAAAAGCTCTTTATTGTTGATGCCTGAACACCAAAATGCTGGCTTAATGTTGTATGGAATGCAAATTTGCTTTCTGCAACATATTTGCTCTAAAATGAGGTGTTTAAAATATTCTTTAGCATAGATATACAACAACTTATAGTACAAATTTTTAACTGTTGCATAAACGTTTATACAACTATTTTATACGGCATATTTGCACGTTAGTCAAAATGGTTGTGTTGTGGCATCCATGGTAACTTTTATAAAACAAACCCGAGCCTTGTTGTTTTGCTGTGCATATTACTACTTTAGCCAACAAGTTGCTCCCAACGCAAGCACTTATACAACTGTTGTTTAGTAACTGTTAAAGGCTGTACATATGCTAAATATGTTGGTAAACAACTGTCATATTTTTGTAAAACGCCATAAACAATGTTTTAAGACAAACAACGCATGCATATTGGTTTAAAAGGTTTTATCAACTGTTCAAACAGAAGATATAGATCTGGTACAAATTCTGGGTTAATCATTGGACTCTGTCGGTATTTAATTTCAGACATTTGTCAAATTGTTGAATAACACCTGCAGGCAACACCAAAACATTCTAATAAACTGAAGACAACATGCCATGATTATACACAACCACCAGCCATATTGGGTAAACATTTCCCAACTAACAATTATCACTCCTATTAGAGTTGCAAGAATGATTATACAGTATTCCTTGAACAGCTTTGTAAACTGTAAGAACATTGGCAAAACCCTCTTAGAACAGCTATAAAAGCGGAATGGGCACACCTAGTAGGACACTTCAGTCATTTAAGAGGTTGTATAAGGGCTGCAGGTAACAGTTATAAAACAAAAGTGTAAGCCTCTTGCAGCCGCTATAGGACATTTGCGTCAGTGTAAGATTCAGTTTTTGTCAACTATACAACTATTCTGTTACGTGATTCTACTTTATTGCAACCAAACTATTTCTTATGTATTGTACAGACGAAGTGAAGAATATATAACTAACACATTACAGTCATCTTGTTTACTTACATATCGGCCATTGTGAATTTCATACACAGGTATATGATAAACTTCTACACTGTGATATAGGGCTATTGAATTACTTGCGCAGCAAATTTTATTGTGCTTATCGTGCAAATTAGTTACCCAATTTCTACGGGCTTCGTATTTAATTCATATTTTGACAATGATCAAAAGTACGTCTAGATTTTGAAGATG